CAAAAGAAGACAAACGAAGTAGATGAAAACACACTGTAAATTGGAACGTGTCTTGCTCATCTTCTAGTGATCCGATCAGCCAGCACCAGGTATGAAACTACCAAGTATCATATGGTACAATTTTTCACTTTCATTATGGGAAAAATAATAACCACAATATTTACTAAAAAGTCACGCAAGTATGGAATAATAATGAATTCTAATTGTATTCCTTATATTCTTTGGCTCTCAGTAATAATATGCAGAAAGTTCTAACAATATATTTATTCTATTCCATCCCAGTGTGATTTCAACTTTAAAATGTTTCACAAAAAGGAAGTATAGACTCTGAGTGTTGAAAACCATTGTGGTAAAGGGCACTTTATACAGTACTGTAATTATTTTAGACTCCCAAAGTGTCACCAGTCCAGAGCTAACTGTAAGTGATCAGCTTTTGTAAGAGGATCAGATGATTGCGGCACGAGAAACTAGAGCAAAGGCATCTTCATTTATCTGATGAGAGAACTTCATTAGTGAGCGTCCTTTTTCCTTTTCTTCCTCTTTCGTCTTTTATGGATCAGGTAACTTCCTTTACATGATAAAAGACGGAGCGCTAACTGGAACGGACTGTGGATTACCTGCCATGACTTAGTCTTCAGGTGATTATTATATGTATATTTAAACATCACAAATACAAATAAACTACAAAAGTGACCCCAAGATATTTTATAGTTTAATTAAAGGAGTGGTCAATCAGCTATTTTCCAAGGCTTAATTCTGTTTATGGCGTGCATTTTACCATTATTCTACACCACTGTTTCTGTTCTCCAAAAATGGTCTGTTGTTTCTACGAAGCCCATCCCTCAAAATTCAAAATGGCACGTTCTGATTTGCTAACTCCCTAATGTATGTAGAAACGTCATAAAAAAGGACATAAGTGCATGATTTATATTTAAAGTTAGTGATGTATCACATATCCAGGAATAATAGTCAGTTTACACACTAACTAAAATTATAAAGGTAAATCATAATCAATACCCTTTATTAATTATTAAATTATCCCAAAGTTTGTCACCATATGTTAAAGACTCACAAACAGCATTGTCTTGGCACTTAATGCAGGCAGCGACTCTCTGTTAACGCCGGAGTCCTTTTCAGGAAATGGGTAAAGGGATCCCTCCAATCTAACCAGTATGCCAACACTGCTGCACTCTGTCCCCTCTCCCTTCTGCCAGTGACACCTATTAAATGCCTATGCCCTGGCACGGCTCCAGGAGGAGCTGACTTATTCATCCTCACTAAAGCCTGGTAACCAGAGAGCTGTTAATTAATAAAGCTGTCAGGTACAGCGCCGCCATCGGGCCATCATCGGCCCATTGGAAACATTATCTCCCCATTGTTTCAGGGCCAGGCTAACCGCGGGCCTTCGAATCAATTACGCTAATGCTATGTAAATGAGGTCTCCTGCCATTAGCCCAAACAACACAAGCTGTTAATGTAGGAAATAAGGCCTTGTTTTGCAGAAGCGGTGAAGAAAGCGGACACCGAGGCTGCTTGTGGACATCTGGGATCAAATCGTAAAACTGAGGACAGATAAAATTGGGCAGAAATGATGGGAAACCATGACGAGTCGCAGCAGGATAGGACAATAAGCTGAAAAGGGGGTTCTAGTAGATTTCTCCAAATGTTACTGTGCAGATTTGGTCTCTTGATCTTGTTTCTATGTCAAAGGAGACAGAATTGGGACACGGTTATTTTCACTGATGACCTAAGCTCAAAGTGAGCTCTCTGATGAGGGGACACACACGGAGGACAGGTTGTATAATCTAAGTGCCATCAGATCCTTCAGGGCAGTTGAGTTAAGGGTAATCTGAGAGGGCAATCTGAGCCCTGCGGTTACACTTACTATTTAAGAAAACCAAGGAGAGGCAAATCACAAATAATAACCTGAAGGATTCACACCGTGTAGTTTAAACATTTCTCTTCTGCTTTGTTTTCATTCTCTAAACAGCTATGCTTACTCTTCTGTCTGTCACTGTGGAAGTCCAAGAATGTTTAGCCGGGAATATATTGGATAGATGATCCATTGGTTGGATGTGTAATGCTTGATTAGTTACATATTTTTTTGCACACTGTAACATCCAGCAAAAATTATTTCATTCACCGATGATGCATTAAACTGATCTGGCAATGTAAATAGATTTTTAAATTGTTATAAATATTTTGATAATTAACAATTCTGGGAAAAATGTTTTTAAATATGACTTCCAAAAATATTAAGTATTACGACTGTTAAATGCTAATGACAATAACCTATAAATAATAATGTATTGGTCGCTGATATTTATCATATGTTGGATTAATTTAAATCTATCTATGAGATGGCAATAATATGAAAAAATGCTGAACTGTGGTTTATAATTTACATAAAAGTATGGAGTTGCACATCTCTTGAATATTCCAACCCTTTTCTCACAGCAAAATCAAATAACAAAATGTAATCTGTACAAAATATCAGGCCTGAGTCTAAGATGTACAAAGCATGTCAGGATTTTGCCTAAGTATGATGCGATCCTGAAATAACATCTATGTAGATCCTGTAATATAATTTTTGTTAGAAAATGTATTCCATACCTGTTCCTTACCCCCAACCATAACTGTAAATTATTCCCAAAATCAGAGGGGAAAAATAGTTGGATAACAATCACGTAGAAGTGCATAAAACTAACCATAAACTTAAACTAACCATAAACTTAACTTAACATAAATGGTAAACATATCCCTTAATTCTCATTGGAATGTTGTTTCAGGATCAACTTAGATGTTAAACCAGAAACATTCCCTACCTGGTGAAATCAGGGTAACATATGTACAAAATATAGGAAGTGCACCTTCCTCAAGCACTGGCACAAAACCAGTGGATAGTTTGGTCTATTTAGTTATTGTTTGTTCAATTATAGTTAATGTCTTAAACAATGAAAGAAACCGACAGCACCTCCGTCAATATTTTTCTAGAGCAAAAAAATGTATTTATTTACATATAGAAATGGTGTTTCAGGCCATTTGTTTGTCAAATTTATAAATAAATATGTTCTATTACACGTCAAATAAAAGTTAAAGTAGTTAAAAGTCATTTGAAGACTGTTTGTATTACATATTTTATTTATTGTAATCATGTGTCTGTCTTAAAATGTTGGATAGTTGAAAGATAAATAGATCCAATCCATGTTCAGTAAAATTAATTGAGGTTAATTTAATAGAGGAAAAAATAGCTAGTAGTGTATATTAAACATTTTACACAAAAGTGTTAAAAATCTGTATCAGCGTCAGTAAAAAATTATAGTAATATTAATAATAATAATAATAAACGGGGTGGAACCGTGGCTCAGTGGTTGGCACTGTCACCTCCCAAGAAGGTCGCAGGTTAAAGTCCCGGCTGGGCCGGTTGGCATTTTTGTGTGGAGTTTGCATGTTCTCTCTGTGTTGGCTTGGGTTTCCTCTGGGTCTCTCCCTCAATTCAAAGTAGGGACGTCTCGATCAGGTTTTTTTGCCCGAGTCATTTGATTTGGAGTATCTACTGAAATCAAAACCTGATCCAATACTTCTATAATACATAAAAAAAGAATAAAGAAGAGTGAAGAAACATATCCAGGATAGAGTCAATCCATTTTGCGGTAAGGCTTTGCAGAGACATGGAGATATGCATGAACTCCATATGTCTGTGGTGAACAAAACATGGGGTACATCTGATAACAGGACAAGCAGTTTGTCAGAACTCTTCTTATAAAGGGCCGGCAGAGCTTTCTCTGTGAACTAGTGGCAAGGCAGCATTTCAAATCGAGATTCTACATGCTCCATAAGTATAATAAATCCAAAGTTCTCTACAAAAGCGAATGGCAGGTCAATCATTGCGATAATTTGTGCTATCTTGTGCTATCTCCTGCAGCGTTCTTCTTCGGTTGGATTGCCTGGATAAACTCGTTGTATTATGTTGGGTGTTTGTTTTTGAGGTGCCTTATCAGGTTTGTTATGTTAAATGTATCATTTTCCTTTCCACCTCTTGCAATACCAACTTTATAATACCTCCAGACTGCAGACATACTCGCGCTTTTTGCTTCAAACTGCTTCTGTGTTCTACTTTGCCGGCATTTAACCAATAGTGTCTCTACAACAAAGTGATGTCATGCCGCACATATATATTCGAGACCTGATTTGGAGGTAACGCAGATTAAGATCTAGTATGAAACTGCGTGATTGGGCCCAATTTCCAATCATGTGATGGATCTGGACATCCCTAGTCCAAAGACATGCGATATAGGTCAATTGGATAGATTAAATTAGCCATAGTGTATGAGTGTGTGTAAAAATTAGTGTGTATGGGTGTTTCCCAGCACTGACTGCGTAAAGTATAAGCCAGAAAACGGTTCATTCTAGTATTGTGACCCCTGATAAATAGTGGACTAAGCTGAAGGAAAATGACTGAATGAACAATAATAAGTGCATCTTGAACACCAAATCAGTGTATTAGAATGATTTCTAAAGGATGTCAAGACACCGAAGACCAGACTAATGGCTGCTGAAAAATTAACTTTGTGCATTACAGGAATAAATTATATAAAATATATAAATTATTAAATTATGTAAAAAGTTACGGTACTTTATATTACTGTTTTGCTGTAATTTGAATTAATGCAGTCCTGGTGAGCATAAGAGACAGTCTAACATGTATAATTAATGTGGCCAATATATATATATTTAAAATATTTTCTTATGGAAACAACATGAGATCACAGAATCGGGTAAACTATTCCTTTAAGAAACAAAAACCCCAATTGTCAGTCAGATTATGGTAATGGTGCAGATGTTCCATTAATTTCAAAGGGAAATAAAAAACACAAAGAACCAGTGCTACAGATCATCATGACAGATCCCTGAGTGGCTATATGGCTTCCACGATAATGACATGACAGTATACATGCTGAGATTCCTCTCTTTAAATCAGATTATAATGACTGCTATACCTGTTTGGTGTGAAATTAGACTTGTGGAGAAGTTCTGCCTCTTCAACATCTCGAGGAAAGCCATAAAGCACCCAGCCCTGTGTGGTGCAATCCATTCTGCTCAGTCTCTCTGTAAGGACCCGCAGAACTATACTGGACGGCACTGTATGGATTAAACAATAAATACAGCGATAATAAGACAGCCTGTTTATTTTATATTCGTTGTGTTATTCCTTAATTACATGACAACAGAAGTACACAACAAAAAGCGGAGAAGAGAAACCTCATTAAAGGCAAACTTGGTGAATCTGGAAAATGTTGACACAAGAGGTTCAGACTCCTGAGAATCAACTCTGTGTGTCCTTTGAATGACACTCGTCCTATATACTGTAAACACAGTGTTCACAGGGGTTTACCCCATGAGACGCACACACAAACACATCTGCTTAGCATTTTGTTTGAAATACGGTATACGTTCCTCCCTGTAGGACGGCAGATCACAGTGTTATAGATCTAACGGACGTGAGAAAGGCCTTTCATTTGTTTACTTCCTTCCAGGTACTGAGAAAGAAGAAGAAAAACAGAGCTAGAACTTTTTGAAATGTGAAAGATGCAGATATACCATGCGGTTTTAAGGGTTTAAAAGGATAGTTCACCAAAAAAATGAAAAATGACTTAACATTTACTCGCCCTCAAGTGGATCCATACCTTTTTATGTTGAACACAAGAGAAGATATTTAGAAAAATGTTAGAAACCAGTAAACATTGACTTCCACAGTAGGGAAGACAAATACTAGTCAATGGTTACAACAGGAAAAAAAGAAACTACAATAGGTTTGTGGCAAATAAAGGGTGAGCAAAGATTTCAGATGAACTTTAAAGCCCGGCGCTCTAGATGCTCTCCACCTCAGCTTGAGTTAAATTTTGTCTAATTTAGTTTTCTGTTCACTTGCGCCCTTATATTTTCAATTAAGATCAGATACAGTTGAAACCAGAAGTTTACATACACTCTAAAAAAAGGAACATAACCATTTTTTTTTAAATGTCTAATGGTAAATCATACTAAACGTTTACTGTTTTAGGTCTGTTAGGATTACCTAAATAATTTACATTTGCTAAATGCCAGAATAATGAGAGAATTGTTTTTGGAGATTTTTAAAATAATTTCTAGACAGTGAAAAGTTTACATACATTTTCTTGGCATTTTTTTAGCTTTGCTTTTAAACTGTATAGCATTTTTTCAAATGTTTTGGGTATCCTTCCACAAGCTTCTCACAATAGTTTGAAGAAATTTTGGCCCATTCCTCCTGACACAATTGGTGTAACTGAGTCAGATTTGCTCGCACAAGCTTTTTCGGGATCAGGGCTTTGTGATGGCCACTCCAATACATTCAATCTGCTGTCCTTATAGCACATTTTAACTAAATTGTAATCAGGCTTTTTTGTTGATTCTGGCTTGTTGATTTTCATGTTGTCACAAAAGGAAGCAGTGTGTTTGAGGTTTTCCTTAAATACTATACTACAGTTGTGCCTCCAATTAACTCAAATGTTGTCAGTTAGCCATTCAGAAACTTCCAAAACTTTGACACCATCATCTGAGCTTTTTCAGAGGCATAATAATTTATTGTATGTAAACTTGACTTTCAAGATAAGTTATAACATTTTCACAAAAAAATCTCTCTCATTATTCTGCTATTAAGCATAACAGAAACAAATTTGATAATCCTAACTTACCTAAAAGAGAAAAAGTTTAGTCACATTAACATCTGACTTTTTTTAAATGGTTATGTGCCTTTTTATACAGTGTATGTAAACTTCTGGTTTCAACTATATAGAGGGCTTTAAAGGGATACTTCATTTAAAACAAAAAATTATGTCAAAACTGTAAGAAACCGATAAACATTGACTTCCACGGTAGGGAAAACAAATACTATTCAATGGTTACAACAGGAAAAAAAGAAACTCAAACAGGTTTGTGGCAAATAAAGGGAGAGCAAACGATGACAAAATGTTTAGTTTTGAATGAACTATCCCTTTAAAGCCTCTCAATATATCTGATTTGAATTGAAAACGCATGGGTACAAGTGGACTGAAAGCTAAATTACACCAAATTTCCCTTAAACTGAGGTGGAGAGCATCTAGAGCGCCTCATTAAGAGGATTCAATTACAGTAGATGGTCTGAGGAGAACCAAAACTACATCACACTCCACGCAAACTCAAAGCATCAGAGATCTCGTCATCAAGCGCTATTGGCAAGGACGTGCCTTTTGTTTGTATCTGTATCAAATCAAGTCGCTTTATTCAGATGTGAGGTGATAAATAATTAGCAGACACGGTGTCATTTAAATTCATGTATGTACATTTTGTCTTTTGAAGATATTTCCCGGGTCCCTCTCAGAGTACAAAAGCAGTCAACGGCTCGGCTGACAGGGAACATGAGTGCATTGTTTAAGGGGATGATGGCACCTCTTAAAACTGACGGAAACTGTGGTATAAGAGGGTGGCGCTCGTAATGCTGCAGGAAAATTAACGAGAGCGGCGGAGGACAAACAAATAATGAGGGTGAAGAGAAAATAGAACAGCATTCTTTAAGGAACGCAAGCTGGCACCCAGGGGGGTCCCCGCAGCTGGTGAAAAATTAAAGTCGACGGTTTCAAACTGTCCAATTTCCACATCAAACGAGCACAGCCTCTTGCCTATCTCTGCAGCCCTGCTTCAAACGTAAGGCAGCCTGGAGAGGCTTCCTCCTCTCTCTTTCTTTCTTTCCTCTCCTTCTGCACTTCAGCTAAGACTATTTTTTTTTCTTTTTTTTTTTTTGGTTTGCTTAATAATCCGGCTTTTCAAATCCCAGAAGCACTGTACTGGTTACACTAGCCACCATCTCTCCATCGCCTAATTATACCCCTGTGAGGCCATTAATCAACTTGTAAATTATTTAGGCAAGCTCTCTGCCTCAAATCCTCACTGTCACTGGAAAAAGGGGGAGAGAAAGGCACAAAAATCCCCCCCTCTTCTCTCTCCCAGGATACCGCAGCCCTGTTCAACACGGCAATGGAATATGCGCTAACAAAACATTTACATAGCATTTCTTATGCACACACTGCTACTTCAACAAACACGCAACATGAATTTATGAACATATGTTGAATGTGACAGATACTGCTTGAGCTGAAAAGTTACTTTACATATTCTGGCAGATCTGACAATCTTATTGGGAGTGTGTGGGCGCTCAGCGGAGATGGATGGGTGGAAGTCCACACTCATGATTCATAAAAGATTTCCAAAAATGAAAATGAGTTAATTATTTACTCACACTCAAGGGTATAAACCTTTATAAGTTTCTTTCTTGTCTTGAACACTAAAACATATTGTGAAGAATGCTGAAAACCTGTAACCATTGACTTCCATAGTAGGAAAAACAAATACTATGGAAGTCAATAGTTACAGGTTCCCAGCTTTCTTCAATATGCATTCTTTTGGGATTAGGAAAAGAAAACTCAAACAGGGTTGTGGCAAGTGAAGAGTGGGTAAATGATGACAGAGTTTTCAGTTTATGTTGAACTATCCCAGCAGGCACAGGACGCCAACATGACGTCAGATTAACGATGTAGCCCGTTGCATTTTATTTGGAAATAAAAATCGGGTTGACGTCAGAACCCCACGTCAGACAAATATTGCATTTTGGTTACTTTCTAATGCAACCTAAAAACAACCAAATATCAACATCTTACGATGTTACAGCTTGACGTTGTGTGGAATTACATCTATCAGACATTGGATTTTGGTTGTCATACCTGAGGGATAAATGTCAGCATTTGATGTTAATAGGACGTTTGTTTGAGATGTTGGCTCGACGTTGGATTTTGGTCACTTTCCAACACAACCTAAAATCAACAAAATATTAACGTCATTTCTTGTTGTTATTGAACGTCAAAATCACACTGTCCTTAGATACTGGGGACCAAAATCTAACCTAATATTAACGTCTTTAGATGTTGTGTATGCTGGGATCCCTTTAATGGAATAATATTAAAATAAAACATGATTTAGTGCTTTTGTTGCCCTTGATTAATGAATCCTAAACACTGCAACATTATCAAAGCATTCATGTAAAAATATCTGCCCAAATATGAAAATGTATTTTTCTGTTTTAATATCTGTTAATAACAAATTGAATTTACCATGCATGAATTGTAATGCTTCCAGATTGCATAATGGAACCTTAGTTTTCTGCTCTGACAACTTTTGAAGTTAAATAGTAGCTTTTATTAATATTTATTAGTTTGAAACAATATTTTGTCTGGATTAGTCATGCAAATTAGATCATGTAAATTTACCAAAAAAAGGATAATGAGCTTTCTTTTTTCTGTTGCAGATTATAATATAATGTTCCAAACTAATATGAATGTAAAACAACAACAACAACAACCAGGGTTCATACGCATTTTTACTATAAAAATTCTATGACTTTTCCAGGACTTTTAATACAGTTTTCATGACCTAATGTTTCATGTGATGTCTACGTATACATGGTAAATCATAAGAAAAACAATAAATGTTTAAATTTATTACAGCATATCATAAAACACGCAACAATCTCTTTAGTTTCAATTATTTTTTTATATCTATGTAAAATAGATAATGCTCACACAGCTGTAATTATGTGAGAATGTTTTTAACCAAGAAAAAAAGTAAAAACAACTACCCTCCATTCCAGTATACAGATATGCGTTAAGCTAGTTTTAGATGATGTCAATAGTCTGTTAAACTAGTAATAGTAGATAAAACTACTTCTATTGTAAAACAGCGATCACGACCAGAAACGCAAGCTCGAGCGAAAAATTTCACATTTCACTACATTTGAAAGTTAAAGCTTGGTGAATTATAACCTGCGAAATCGCATCTTGTTATTGCATTAAACCAATAAAAGATCATTTTAATTTAGTAAATTTAAAATAAGGAGCGATCGCTTACTCTTAATAATGTCTAATCATATTGTTTAATACCACCCCTTTTCGCAGCGCCATAAGACAGAAATTTGCAAAAACAAAAGCTCTATTGTGACCGCAGCTTAAGTCACTTTGGACAAAAACGTCTGCTAAATGACTAAATGTAAATTTAATTTCCATGACTTTTCCAAAACCTTGTGGGTTTTCTGTTTTTCCAAAACTTTTCCAGGCCTGGCAAATGCCATGTCAAAATTTCATGACTTTTCTAAGTTTTCCATGAGCGTATGAACCCTTAACAGTAACAACAACAAAAGCTTTGTTCAAACTGTACAGTTAACTTTTTAACATCAATATTTTGTCAGAGTAAAAATCAAGTTCCCATAATGCAATTCAGAAATTAATGAATGGAAAAACACCTGTGAATGATAAGCAACGATTTCTGCTAAAAATTCCAGTAACCGCATTTGTTTGATTACAGTAAAAATCTGAACACCAATCTTTTTTCCCCAGACAGCGTAATAAAGGTGTAGTTTACCCAAAACTGAAAATTCTGTCATAACTTGATCACACTTTACATCCAAACCTGTTTGACTTTCTTTCTTCTGCTAAACACAGTAGATACAGGTTTAAAATGTCTAATAGAAGATATCTTGGAGAATGCTGTAGACCTGTATCCACTGACTTCCATGGCATTTGTTTTCCCTTCTAGTGATTTGGGACCACTTGAGAGTGAGTAAATAAAGAGCAAATCTTTATTTTTTGACTGACTTTTCTTTTAAGTAATTCTTTCAGATTTAATATTCAAGCCTATTCAAAAGTAAAATTGCCCAAATATGAAAATTAATTCATCATTTAAGTTATAGGACCACTGATTTTGAAAAAAAAAAAAGACTCAACATTCCTTATTAATAAAAGTAGCCCTTTAAAAAGAAAAAAAATACATCCATATACAAGTGCATGCTTAATTTCTTTGCTTTGCATCCCTTGAGGATCTTTATTAAATTAATAAAAACTTGCTCAAGGCGAGTGGCATTGGCCGAAGCTGTGATGAAGGCAGTGATTGGCAGTCCCAGAGGCAGAATACATTCTCTGAGGGGCGGGACTATATATATATTTACTTATGGTCTCCGGGGGATTTTGAACAGAGGGGTGTTGGGCAGACACAGAAGGTGTAAGAAGGGAAGGGAATAACAATGATGAGGATGAATAGAAGGTCATACAGTGTCAAGACAATGCTAGAGTACTACGGTGTGTTGTGTACTGGCCTACAGGACTGAGGATAGCATGATATTTGGTATAAAATGTTGTGATTTTGCATACACACAAACATGGCAAAACCCACTGCAAGGTATATGATAATCATTTAGACTCCAGTTATCACATACATGTGAAAATAACACAACATGTTCATCCTCTGAACTATTCTGGCTATGGGGGTCCAATTATCTGGTCAAAAGCAGGAGACTAAATCTGCAGCTTCCAGACTGTATTTGCACTTGTTCTGTGTGATTGACCCATTTGGCAGTAGGTATGGAGGAGGTGAGGAGGCATACCTTGCTGTTCTGACTCCAGGTACGGTTTAATGAGCTCCCCCATATGGCTCTCATCAGCTGACACAGCCTTCAGAAGCTCACCACAACAAACTACAGCCAAAGAGATATGGGAAGCAAAAAATTAAACAATATTGGTACAGAGGTTCATTCAAACATTATTTAAAAACTCTTACATGTTTTATTATATTATATATTTATATATATTTATTATCACAGTCTTGAACATGTGAATGATTAATAACAACATTGGCTTTGATGCATTTCTGGATTTTAATTTTTTCTCCCTAATTTACAGTCGTTGGCTGTTTTTGCCCCATTGACTTCCATTATAACCACATTTGATGGTGCATAAATACTCAGTCTTTGTTTTTATTTACTTCATGTAGTTCTGAGAGCTGAGATGCATATTTTGATTTTCTCAGGCACATCAAGGTATAAATGCGCAAAGGTCACTCTCAAACTCTCACACACTCACAGACATAAATACACACACAATTTGCTGTTATACTATATATACTATACTATACTATATAATCCAGAAACTAAGATTTTTTTTGCACAGGCCTATCTAACGTGTTTATGGTGCCAACTGATGATCAACAGTAAAAATTACAAATTTTACCTCTTCCCAACAAGGAAAACCACCAACAATATACAACCAAAACAAAAAAATGCATGATTGTATGGTGTCATGATTTTGTAATAAAAAATTGTGGTTAAAATGGAAGTCAATGGGGTAAAAGCAGCCACCAACAGTAATAAAGGGAGAGAAAAAAATTAAAATCATTAAAAAACAATGCATCAAAGGCAGTGTTGTTTCACATGTCCAAGACTTTGATAAAAGGAAAAAAATCCAGTCCACAATTACTTTTTATATTGAAAATGAAAATACATCATTTTGTGACACCCCCCCCCCCCCCACCCCCACAAAATCAGTGTAACATTTATGAATTTGGCAATTAAAGAGTTAAAATCCTATAATTTTCTAAACAATGTAGTAGTTTTGATCAGAACTGAGGTTAAATGACAGACGTATGCAAAAAAAGTTTAAAAATATTAATCTGATGCATTTTTACAGCAATTTAATTTAGTTTTTATCCCGAACATAACAAAAGGGTAGTAAATTTGCCCAGAGTGTATTGCTGAGTTTTTTTTGTAAAAAAATCAAATCATTTTCTCAAAATATGTGTCAAAATAAGATTTTTCACCAAAAATCATTCTGCTAGAAAAAGTTATGGCCAAATTAAGACTCAAAATCACCCCAGAGTGGATGAAAACATCCCTAACATCACATAAGGGTAAAAAAACAAAACAAAAAAAAAACAGTTTATTTGTTTTGAAACTTGACAGTCACTATAAATGATCACTGTCTAGCAATATCTGTGTAATGATTCTTTAAAAATGTCAATTTTATTTATTTTTTAAATAATAAAAAAAACAACAACATTAGGGGGAAATATTTTTTTGTTGTATATTTTACAGTTAGTGTTCCACAGATGAATAAAAAAAAAAGACAGCATTTAATGAAAAAAAAAATGAACAGAAGTTGTAAAGTTGAGGAAGAGCTTACTGTTGATGATGCCGTATTTCTGAGCAATTAGTTTTGCCTGCAGACTTTTTCCTGCACCTGGTGGTCCAAACAGCAGGATTCTGGGAGTGTAGGGTGAGGGAGAGTGACGTGGAGTACAGATGAAGTTCAGCACTGCAGTGTAAATACAAAACCATTTATAAATGAACAAGAACAATCGATAGTGTCTTACTGAATGAAAGATGCATTTGGATAGTGCACCAAAAATGTATTTACCCTCGATCCATCCAAGATCTAAAGGCTTTTTTTTCTTCAGTAGAATGTTACAAAAGATTTTTAGCTGAAAATGTTATCTTTGGGCGATTCATCGAATAGCTATTGGCACTTTGAGAGTGAAAAGACATTATTAAACATTATATAACTCCAACTTTTACATGATCCTTCAAAAATCCCTTTTAACGTGCTGGTCAAAAACATTTCTTCTTATTACCAGTACTAAACTCGTAATAGCTCCAGTGAAAAAGAATGCGAAATGAGCCTTAACCTTTAAACAACAATATACTCATTACAAAACATGTTTGCACAATAAACCAAAGATGAAATATAATGCTCTTTAACCCTATGGTGATTGTTTAGCACCATAACATTTTTACACAAAACAGCACAATGCAGGCTCAGATAAACTCTATTGAATGTTTAATGGAGTAAGATAATAGAGGCATGGTGACAGCCCATTCTCTCAGATCATAAACAGAGATTGCCACTAAACTGAATATAAAGCCACTTGATTAATTAATCATTAGAGTCTTCCTTTCATGTCCACGGGGGCATTTGCTTGTAGTGTGACATCCCTGTCGAAGCCATCTGCTTGCAGTTGGGTTTCACTCACAACAATGCTGTTTGTCTGGAACCTGTGCTGAGCCGCCATTCTAATGTGCGATGATTAACAACAGCCTAATCATAACTAATGAGTCCCTCTCATCCAGCCCTTTATGCTGCTAATTGTTATACAACAACATGATAAATGCTTAATATGCGAAACATGTTAATGCGCTAAAAGGCTAAGTCAGGGGGAAACTAGCGATGCTGCAATCAAACCGCATGCTGAATTAGCACTAATCAAGATTTAAGATGACAGCCTTATTGCTGTTTGCTCCTCGGTATGGGTTTATGAATGTTTTATGGCAGAGTTTATCTCAAATATTTATTTAATGTCCTCCACTTAGACGTATCAAGAAAATCAGGTGCAGTTAAGTCAAGATTAAGGCATAATGCCATGCTGTCCTAAATCTGCAATTTACAAATCAAGCCCTCAGCGCAAAACCATTAGGCTGGAGGGTTGCTTCCTTGATAGGTACTCAACAGGGCATTTTGGCTTTAACACTAATGTGCCATGAGACTAAATGAGCCTTTATTATCCCCCGGATAAGCCTAATTTCTGAGAAATGAAGAAAAAACGATACAAAATTGGATTTGAATTCTACCGGTTTAAGTTTATGGAGCTTGAGCTCGTGAAATATTGTTAAAGAAAACATAGTTTGGTCCATGACACCTCTACAAATGCTGTCGATAATATAGATTGACTGGCTATCATACATACTCATTCTTATGATAAATATGCATTGTTCTTATAAAAAAAGTGGTAGGAATTTCACAAAATGCTGCTAACCTGCCCAACGCTCCAGTCAAAGTGATGTATGCAAAGAGCAGTTTAAATATTCACCGCCTAGCTCTACCTCACAACTAAAGGAAGGGAAGTGACAAAATTATTTTGTCAAGTTGAGCGATATAATATTTAGACAGGTTGGATTCAGATGGTTTTAATGTAATTGGCGAGGACCGCTCATCCCTGCCCAGGTTCTCATGGGATAGTCTGTGCCTGCAGAGCTGCCTGAGGCAACCTCCTCGACTGGCAGAGAGCCTGACAAGCGGGTCAATCACTGCCTCTGAATGCAGCCGCCGCACTGCTGACCTCCGACCAACAGGGGCAGCAGATCCCACATCAGCACAATATCTTATATTAGAAGAAATGCTTGAAAAGCTGCAAATGCAACTGAGCCTTCTAATAAGCCTTGCCTGCCCACATTGTAAGAGATACGGTTTATGTTCTTGATTCAGGATACTTGAATAAATTAGCTACATTCATTCATTTTCCTTTAGGTTTAGTCCCTTTATTAATCTGGGGTCGCCACAGCGGTATGAACTGCCTAAATTAGCTACCAATAGAATATAATACCAAGATCAATTTGTTTCCTCATAGAGTCTGTGATAATAGACTGCTTAACAAGAAGATTTAAGGGGATAGTTCAACCGAAAATGTAAAAAATTCTGTCATTTACTCAATGGACCCTTTTTACAAGACTGTTATGACGTGTTTAATGGTCATCATAATCTTAAATCATTGAAAAAAGGATCTATTCATTGTTGACCTTTGATGAAGACACACAGTAGTGCTTTACAGCTATGTTTAATCAATAACTTATTTTATAGTTATTAATGTCATACATGATGAAATAGCTTGGGTGCTTCTTTTTTCCCAAATTCAGAAGAGTTAACTTATTTACACGACCATTCCAGTTTTACAGTATAGTCAAATCTAAACAAAATTAGATACAGTAGGACTTTTAGAAAGGAAAAAAATAGAAATAGACAGCCAATAATTTACTGTAGATGAATGAATAATATGCAATCATGTAATGCATATAATTTAAAAAATATTTTAATTGCTATAGGTAAAATACGTATAATTTTAATTATATAATATTTTTTTTCCTTAAAAAAGTGCTATATTTTGCTGATTAACATGCATTGTCCTTATTGTTTCGAAGAATGTTAAATCCAGAAAAAAAAGACATTTTAACACCGTAAAACCCAATAATTTAAGGTAACTTAAACCATTTGAAGAAATAGATTGCAACAAATCAATTAAGTTCAAAAAGTTATCTTAATGAGTACTGTGAACTTAATCCATTCGAGTAAATGAAGCAATTTGAGCGAAGTAAAACCCAATAAATGAAGAGAACTCAAACCAACTAAGTACTGTAAAACCCAAAAAGTTGAGGCAGCTCAAACCTTTTGAGGAAACCAATTGCTCCAAACCATTTGAGTTAAAGACTAATCTATTTAAGTGCTGTGAACTTACTCCATTTAAGTTGAAGTAATGAGGTATTTAATTAACTCATTACCTTCAACACTGAGTTCAAAACTCTCAGTAAATTTGGAGTAACTACACTCATTTCATTTGATAAAGTTGACTGTTTTACAGTGTGTCCTGCGTCACCACGCTAATGACGTCAGACACCCTGGATTTACGGTTGGGTTTTATAGAAAACAGGTAAACACCAAAGTCAGACTGCACACAGCAGCATTATAACAGAACTATAAAATGTTTTAGTACGCTGCTTCTTCCCCACACAATAACAACCAGACGTGGTCAACTGTAACATAATTAAAGCTACGCTGCTTTGCTGCTGAAGTTGCGTCATGCTCATTTTTTATTAGCAATTGCTTCAGTGGTGTCATTTCTTTCACCGGTTTTCAGATCCATACTATCAGAATAATATGTTTTGAATACTTTATCTCATCCATGAACATAATTTCTGATGAGTTCCGTAGAATGCAATGAAGATGACAACTCCCATGATTACACGCCCAGTCACAGCATAATCAAACTACATCAATGTTTGCTGTGTATATGAGAAAATGACTGTGCCTTTAATTTCTTTAATACATTTAAGTTTACAGAGCACATGAAGAGTTCAGATGCAAAAGCCAAAATGTAATAATGACATTGAGTAAATGCTTTAGGCACGTAGTACACCATCAACTGACTCTGGTTTATTCCCCACTACATTTAAGCAGGCTAGGGTAACCCCACTGCTAAAGAAACCCAACCTGGACCATACGCTACTTGAAAACTACAGACCAGTATCCCTGCTTCCATTCATGGCCAAGATTCTGGAGAAAGTAGTGTTCAATCAAGTCCTGGACTTTCTTACTCAAAACAATCTCATGGACAACAAGCAATCCGGCTTTAAGAAAGGCCACTCAACTGAGACTGCCCTGCTCTCGGTCGTGGAGGATCTCAGACTGGCTAAAGCAGACTCTAAATCATCAGTCCTCATTTTGCTGGACTTGTCAGCTGCTTTTGACACTGTCAACCACCAGATCCTGCTATCTACGCTTGAGTCACTGGGCGTTGCGGGCACTGTTATACAATGGTTCAGATCTTACCTCTCTGACAGGTCATTCAGGGTGTCTTGGAGGGGAGAGGTGTCCAACCTACAGCATCTAAACACTGGGGTACCTCAAGGCTCTGTTCTTGGGCCACTTCTCTTCTCCATCTACACATCATCTCTAGGACCAGTCATCCAGAGACATGGATTCTCCTACCACTGCTATGCTGATGATACCCAGCTATACCTCTCTTTTCATCCTGATGATCCCTCGGTTCCAGCTCGTATCTCAGCCTGCCTGTTGGATATTTCACACTGGATGAAAGATCATCATCTTCAGCTGAACCTCGCAAAAACGGAAATGCTTGTAGTTTCTGCCAACCCGACTCTACACCATAACTTTTCAATCCAGATGGATGGGGCAACCATTACTGCATCCAAAATGGTGAAAAGCCTGGGAGTAACGATTGATGACCAACTAAACTTCTCTGACCACATTTCTAGAACTGCTCGATCGTGCAGATTTGCACTCTATAACATCAGAAAGATCCGACCCTTCTTATCTGAACATGCAGCTCAACTCCTTGTTCAAGCTCTTGTTCTCTCCAAACTGGATTACTGCAACTCTCTACTCTCTAAAACTCTCTAAAAATCACTTTCGCGAACCCTCACGCTCAATCTGCCCAGTTGGTGGAATGAACTCCCTAACTGCATCAGAACAGCAGAGTCACTCGCTATTTTCAAGAAACGACTAAAAACTCAACTATTTAGTCTCTACTTCACTTCCTAATCTGCAATTGCCTCTTTGAATATCACACTAACTGTACAAAAAACAAACAAACAAAAAAAAAAACTTCCCTTCTTAGACTTTACAGACCTGAAACTTGCCTTTAGTACTTATTCATTGTTGCTCTTAGTTGTGTAAATTGCTTCCTTGTCCTCATTTGTAAGTCGCTTTGGATAAAAGCGTCTGCTAAATGACTAAATGTAAATGTAATGTAAATGTAAATCAACAAATACATTTGCTTCTAATCATCGAAATTGTCAGCACATTCAAAAATAACAGTTTGTTGGCAAAAGCCGCTAAATGCAACTTGCCTTTGATAGCAAAAGCCGCTATATCCCAAGAACCAATCAGAAGACGCAAATCGAATCATATGTTTTCAATGTAGCAGAGCTTTGATGAGGACACAGTTTTATTCCCCTTCCGATTTCGATTTTAAAAGATGAAGTTTAATGAACTGGATGAGCCTGACTGTCAGTGAATGACAAATAAAAACATGCCTTACCTCAATACTCTTTTAAAGAAAAAGAAAACATAGCCGGTAGTGTAGCACGCATTAATATTTTTTTTTTTTTTTTGCGCAGCAACACTACTTTGAATGAGTCTGATTTACTATGCATTAAACGGCAACTGTGCTTCACAAAAGACAGAGTTAAGATGCCGTTCTTTTATCCCACATAGATGCTTTGAGGATAAACAAGAGACCAAGAACTTAAGTATGGTGAGAATGAATGGATGACAGCTTCTAAAATTGTCTGAGAGACATCCCTTTTGTCCTAGGAGGCCTACCTTGTGTTTTATTTGCTAATTTAAGCTATTTTTAAAAAGATAAATAAAATGTTTAAAACTTTACATTATTTAAATTACTTCATAATGCCTATAAGTCTGATAACCTGTTTATATTAATGGACTATGCACAGATATTGATGTTTCACAATGTTTTTACACAACATTATTTGAATCTAACAAGCTTAGTTTACAATGTTTGCAATGTTTACATTGTTCTACTTACATTAAATCTAAATCCCAAATATCGGAAATGACAACAGATTGTTAAGATTTAATTATTGTCAGTTATAATGTCATTGATTAATGCACTTACTTGACAGATTTCAATCATTCATTTTCCTTCTGCTTTGTCCCTGGTTTATCAGGGGTTACCACAGCGGAATGAACCGCAACTTACTTGACAGATTTATATATTTTTAATTTTACGTGTTTTATGTTTGGTAAAATAATTTATAATTGCATCTTTTAGTAGATTTTCAACTCTTGTCTCAATAGGTGGATTTAGAGTTTTTTGCAAAAAAAAAGCAATGGCGGATTTAGCCAATCTAACTTATTCAATTCACTTATAGGTGACACAGAGGCACGGTAGGTAGTGCTGTCGCCTCACAGCAAGAAGGTCACTGGTTTGAGCTGGGCTGGGTCTTTGGACTTGTGGGGGAAACCGGAGCACTCGGAGGAAACCCACGGCAACACAGGAAGAACATGCTAACTCCACACAGAAATGCCAACTGGCCCCACTGGGATTTGAACTGGTGACATTCTTGCTGTGAAGCAACAGTGCTAACCACTGAGCCACCGCGCCGCTCAGTTTGATTACCACATTTTAAATGTGCTTTCAAAAGATCTTAAACAATTCCCAAAGTTTCTAGTTTTTAATGATCACATAACTTGCTCACAACAGTATCACTTTAATTCATATACAGTGCTCAGCAAAATTGAGTACACCCCATTTTGAAAATTATTTTTTATCTATTTCTCAGTGAATATAGGTAATGTATTTTGGTGCATTTAAACAAAACAGGTTTATTAAACAGATTAATTAATAAAGTTAATATTTTTGTCACCAAACGTGTTTAGAAATTGAAAGATAATACAATTAAATTCAAGCAAAATGTTGCAAAAAAATTACAACCTACAAAATTTTAGCTAAATGTTTAAATTTTTTTTACTCTTTTTAAAATTTGTATTGAATTTTTTTTATAACATATAAATTTGGTTGTACTAGTTTTTGGACCGTTATTGTAAGTTATTTTGTTAGATAAGCTCCAGATTTGGCGTCACTACTGTCTAATCTAATGTATATGAACAAATATAATATTGTATAGCTTCCTATTAAAAAAAATAATTTAAAAGAGAGATTTGTAAGGGGTCTACTTATGCTGAGCACTGTAGATGCTACATGTACCAGTGTTTACCTTGTGAAAATACATCTACATGAGGCTGGTCAGCATTGATGATCTTCAGGCAGTTGTGGTAGGTGCGCTTCAGAGCGTGAGCTTCTGTGTGGTATTTCTGCAGCTTTTGGCTCATAACTTGAACTGGCATAAGAGTCCTGGGTGTTTCTAAACGCTGTGCAACCTCTTCACTCTCAGGCCACATGAAGGTGACATGATATACATCTGAAACAATGAAAAGAATCATGTGGGTAAGGTCATCACATAAGTTTTATACACCAGAGTTTATGTGCTGAGCTGGATATATTGTGTGTAAAAGAACTTCTTGGTAGCATTTGTTCTGACAGCGAATGTCCTAAAAGAGGCTCATAAACAGAGATCATAAATAAACAAAAGGGAAAGTGGCAATTATGTGGAAATGGTGAATCCGCACCATTGCAAATCTGCAGGGAGCTCTGGCTTTTGTTCATTACAGCTGGGCTTTCCGAAACCCTGAGGACACGCAGGGCCCGATTGGGATTCAGCAAACAGGTTGAGCGCTGTCAAGGTCCACACATAATGAAATGCATTCTAACAAGGGTGCGTGTTGGCTGCCTGTCTCTCAGTCTCACTCTCTGAACTAAGAAAAGTGTAATGATCATACAGACATTACCTCCTGTGACAGGGTCTATCCTCTTGCCTGAGCTCCTTTCAATCAGGACGACATCAGGAGCTTCCAGCATCACTGTGAGGAAAGAGTTAAAAGTAAGCGCTAGAGTTTGACACGTCCTCCGGGGACTTCTAGTGAGTCCGAGAGGGATATTTGGCCGGTCTCATTATCGAGTCCTGACTCAAACCTCTTGTTTTTCAGTTGGGAACAGCAAAGTGTTTGGACAACATGCCACTAACCAACGTGATCTGGGGTGATGCCTGCTTCTTGTAGACATAGCGCCTCGTCTTGCGTCTTGGGAATGGCTTCCAAAACCCAGCCCTGGAAATACAATGCATGTTATGCACACTAGAGAAAGAACAAACAATCTGCTTTAAACAATAATCCAACTCTCTGGTGACACTGAGTCCGACTCTGCTGGTGACAGACAATGCTGACATCTTCTGCTAATAACACAGCTGAAAGCCTCCGTTTCGTATTAAATAAACACACCCACACATACGCACGCGCTCGATTCAACTGTTTACATTTCTATAAATGCACTTGCCTTTCCCTACGGTCAGCTATTGGGCCTAAAATGTTGCTTAAAATTGTTTTCATATAAGCAAAACAATATCCAGGCTGGAAAGAATACTTTAAAAAACAGTAATAGGCTTTGAATGAATAATTTTGTATGAATAATTCATATAAATTGCTGCCCTGTACCAGTCTAAATAATGAATGTATAAATTGTTGTATGAATAAGGAGAAAACTGGCCCATATGGGGTCTCATGCAGGGAGGCAAATGGAGGGTTAAATCCATAAAAACCTTGAAAATGTGCCTAATTCTCCAGCTCCTCTCCACACTTCTCACTTAGCAATAAAAATAACATAAGAAGAAAGGAACCCACATGCATATCATTCATTAGCTACAAATCCATAAAAAAATCCTCCTCTCTAATAGTCTCCTAAATCCCAAGGCTTGCTGTGCAATGGTGCGGTAAAATAAAGAACAGTCAAAGAAACCATCTCCCAAAAGTGCTTGTTAGGGGCCAACTTATTACTGCAGCGAATAATCTTAAAATAAATAAATATATGCAACAAACATTTATAGATCTAAGTATTATCAGAGGAGCTGTGGGTTTTTGCTGCCGAGTTTCGAGTGTCTGTTTGATATCAGCCTTTGTTTTTTCAGGCTTTGATCTTTAACGGCAAACCTATCCTTTGCTTCACCTGATCTCAGCGCGCAAGTTTCCTCCCACTTACTTTCCCATTAAGCATTTGATTGCCTCTGTGGCTGGGAAGCCCATGAGCAAGGCCTGACTCACAGATTGCTTGAAAGGCCTATATAGCCTACACAATTTTACTGGCATAAATATATAGGAAAATAGAGCAAACTGGCAGAATAGTGGGGGTTTCTGGCTGGTTTATTAATGTGTAGTGTTTATAAGTAGATGAAATCATATTCATTACAGAACACACAGAAATCAGTTAAAGGGCAGATACTACAAGGTGCTTGATTGTGATTGGCTTGGCGTTAAGATCCCATGACCAGTTTCTTTTGTCCATCCCTTGGTCTCGCTGCAAATGAAAAAGGTAATCAGGCTTTCTGTGTTGCGGCCCCAAGGCTCTGGAATAGTCTCCCTCTGAACATCAGAATTTCTCCTTCATTGAATGCTTTTAAATCAAATTGAAAGACTCATTTTTACTCTCTTGCCTTCAATTGATGCATGCATGTTATTTCTTATTTGTGTTTTAGTATTTTATTTTATTGTAAAGCACTTTGGATCAACTACGGTTGTGTAAAATTGTGCTTTATAACTAATTTTGCCTTGCCTTGCCTTGCCTGTAATTGTATCTAGCACCTACATTTATAAATGTGCAACTATAAAGTAGTTTAGTCTGGTCTTTACTGCATTGTGAAAGAAATAACTGAAGAAAGGCCATTGAAAATAACACTCCACATCATCTAAAGTGCAAAGCAGAAAATGCTCACTTAATTTATTGCACTTTGAAAAGTACACTTATCAAGACCTACTGGTTCAGATTTGTAGGAGACTTGAGTTGTTTCTAAATTCTCATACTACTAGAGTAGGTACTACATTTGATTTAAAATTTAGTTCACGGCCATTAGAAAAGTGTGTTCTATTTAGTATGAATAGAATTCAGAACTACATCTGCTATTTGTCATTATTTCATGACCTATGCTATGTCAGTCGCGCCGCTTCACTACCATTCATTAGTTCTCTTTTGTGGCCTTATGGGATAGTACAATGTCCATTGGATCCATAGAACTAGTAGGTCATCCTCTTCTAATCTACTGTTTTTTGATTACTATAAATTTAGACATACAACTTGGCTCTACTTTCTAATGCATTTAGGCATGTGGCCATGGTCAAGATGATCTGCTGCAGTTAAAACCAAGCATCAGAATAGAAAAGGTGATTTAAGTGACTTTGAACGTGGCATGGCTGTTGGTGCCAGACGGGCTAATCTGAGTATTTCAGAAAGTGCAGATCTACTGGGATTGTCACGTACAACCATCTCTATGGTTTACAGAGAATGGGCAAAAAAAGAGAAAATACCCAGTGACCGACAGTTCTGTGGGTACAAATGCCTTGTTGATGCCAGAGGTCAGAGAAGAATAGTCAGACTGGTTCGAGCTGGTAGAAAGGCAAAAGTAACTCAAACAACCACTTGTTACAACCGAGCTATGCAGAAAAGCATCTCTGAACACACGTCAAAACTTGAGGCGGATAGGCTACAGCAGCAGAAAACCACACCGGGTGACACTTGTGTCAGCTAAGAACAGGAAACTGAGGTTACAATTCGCACAAAACTGGACAATAGTAGATTGGTAATACGTTTCCTGGTCTTATGAATCTTGATTTCTGCTGCCACATTCGAATAGTAGGGTCAGAGTTTGCCGTCATCAACATTAAAGCATGGATCCATCCTGCCTTGTATCAACGGTTCAGGCTGGTGGTGGTGGTGTAATGGTGTGCGCTATATTTTCTTGGCACACTTTAGGTCCATTAGTACTAAATGATCATCGTGTCAAGCCACAGCCTATCTGAGCATTGTTTCTGACCATGTGCATCCCTTTATGACCACAGTGTACCCATCTTCTGATGGCTACTTTCAGCATGATAACACGCCATGTCATTAAGCGTGAATCATCTCAGACTGGTTTCTTCAACATGACAATGAGTTCACTGTACTCAAATGGCCTCCACAGTCACCAGATTTCAATTCAAAAGAGCATCTTTGGGATGTGGTGAAACGGGAGATTTGCATCATGGATGTGCAGCCGACAAATCTGCTGCAACTGCGTGATGATATCATGTCAATATGGACCAAAATCTCTGAGAAATATTTTGAGTACCTTGTTGAATCTATGCCACAAAGGATTAAGGCAGTTCTGAAGGCAAAACAACATCCAACCTAATAAATTGTCCCGTCGGTGAGTGTGTGTTTGTGTGTGGGTATATATAATCATTTATGATTATGATTATATTCTGACGACTGTATTTGTTATGATTTGTCGACATTGTTGTTCTGTTCTGTTCCATTTATCAGTATCAAGTTAATAACATTCCCAGTGATGACTTGTGGCTGAAAGGTCATCCAAAATATGCAGGATTAGTTGGGGGTTCATTCTGTTGTGGCGACCCCTGTTTAATAAATGAACTAAGGGACTAAAAGAAATGAATGAATGAATGTAGTTAATAACACTGCTTTTCTTAAAGCAGCTTTACTTACAGTTTTGTGATTAGTAAACATGCTTTTTTAAGACAGTATACTGTATGCAGTAAACAATATAAGTGTAATAGCAGGTTGCGGAATGTAAAAAATAATGTAGCACATCCAAAATATTACGACTTTAGAATTTTGTAATACGATCCATCGTCAGTTTTTCGTTATGTAGCCATCTATATAAAAGCAAAGGTATATAAAAAGAGACTTAGGTAGAGTCTAAACTTCTTTCAGTCAAACTACAGTGCATACACACACACACACACACACACACACAGTCTCTGCATACATACATTTCAACACAGAGCCCCACTGCGACTTGCTCCATTCCGTTTCATCCCCACATCAAAAGGGGCCATGGTGCAGTAGCAGTGGGCTCAGACAGAGACCCCAGGACTGGAACATCTGCAGTGAGGCCAGTTATCACAGGAGGGACATGCGTGGAGCAGATGTCACCAGCCAGCCCAACAGCAGGCAAAGCAGGGGAGCAGAAGAGTCGCCCCGACATGTCACTCACACACCCCAACATACAGCTCCCCCACACAATACACAGACACACAATATGGCAGCATGAGCGGCTGCAAAATACTCCACTTGACTTAAACAATTAGATCTCAATTAGCTAGCTAAATTAATTTTGCTTTAGTTTATATATACGATACAATATTTATCAAAGGAATAGCCCTGACTTTAAATCACAAAAAAAAAAAAATCATAAAAATATTTTTAGATGACATTTGAAAGAAATTTCATAAACTGTTAAAGAATAAAACAAATATTCACAATATTATCAAATGCATACCTAGTGATTGCATCCAGCACATTTAGAGAAACAGAAAACCGAGAATGTGATCTCCTATTTTCATAAACCAATGCATAGTATATACAGGAATCAGAGAGTGAAATTCAATACCTTTTAAGACTCTTTCCATCCATTTTCATACCTTATAACCACTTTAAATTTCAATTGGAAACACTGACGAGATTTTAAATTAAAGTATATTTACTAAATATTAATGTAAGAAACTAATCCAACACTAAAGCATTATTCATATACTGAATAAAAGTTGAAATAATCTAGCTAATTCAGCAGGTTGGTGCCTATAGAACTGCAGAAATAATGGCATTGCCTTGGTTACAGCAGTAAACAAAGCAGCATGATGTCAAATCAAGTATGATTTTATTGATTTCATAAACTACACAGCATCCTGATATTCGCAGATTTAATTCAGGCAAACTGTAGCATACAACCATACATTGCATAATCAAAAATGATGTCGAATTTAATACCTTGCAAAACAGCATTTAAGACTTTATAATACTATTAAGGGCCTTAAATTTATCTACATTGATTAATCAACTTTTAATACATTTTAAGACCACGCGGAACGCCTGTAATATAATAATAATAAAAATAATAATAGGTGACATGGTGGCTCAATGGTTAGCACTGTCACCTGATAAGGTCGCTGGTTCGAGTCTAGGCAGAGTCAGTTGACATTTCTGTGTGAAGTTTGCGTGTTCCCCTCGTGGGTTTCCTCTGGGTGCTTCAATTTCCCCCATTCCAAAGACATGCGCTGTAGGTGAATTGAATAAACTAAATTGGCTGTAGTGTATGAGTGTGTCTAAGTGTGTATAGTTGTTTTCTAGTATTGGGTTGCAGCTGGAAGGGCATCCTATAAGTTGGCGGTTCATTCCGCAGTGGTGATCCCTGATGAATAAAGGGACTAAGCCGAAGGAAAATGAATGAACAAAAAATATAACAATATTTTTATATGACGTTTGGAAACAAATGTCATCAGACTGTTTTAGAATAAAACAAATAGAATTCAACGCATACCTAGTGATCGAGAATGTGGTCTCCTATTTGTTAAAACTAATATAAAAAATAATAATATGCAAAGCAATGCAATTAAATCAACCTCAGAAAATGTTTACTGTATATTACAATTCATGAGTTATATATTGAATCTATATCTATCTACATCTATCAATATTTAAATATTGATATATGTTTATATGTTTATATAAAAGCGAAAAAAGAATTAATTATTAATCATGTCGCAAAATATTTCTGTAACAAATAAACTGTGGAAAAAATGTCAAGGCTTTCACAAGGATATTCTACAGGTTTTAAAATCCCAAACTTTTGAAGGAAGTGTACAATTTTTTACTACTGAAATCCTATTATGTTAAAACAACTAAAGTATTATCTGCATTGTTTACATTCAAAAAGTTTGAACATATCATTTCAATTGCCAGCTCTCTTTTAGATGTCTCCTTTCTCCCTCAAAATAGAATTACAGACAGTATGCAAATTCAAACAGCATAACTTTATTTGGAAGCCTCATTAGGGATCGGGATGACTGTGACACGCGCCCCATGATCTTTCTTTCTTTCCTTCCTTCCATCCTTCCTTCTTTTTTTCTTCTCTTTTACTTAAAGGTCCATCTTTTTTTTCAGAGGACTGAGAGGCGCTCATTAAATTGACATTTTGCTTTAAATCATATTCATTACCTATGCTCCCTCTCTTCATTTTCCACAAGAGTACAAGTCTAAAGTTTTACAAACAGTGGCCTCATGAGAGAACGAGAGCGGGAATTAAGACAGCTTGAGAAGCGGTGACAGGCGGAGATGAACTAGATGACCTAGATTAGGCATGATTAACATTCATTGTTGCTTAATTTGGAAAAACAGGTAGACAAGCGCAGGCATCGGTGGCAAAGCAATTAAGCTTAGCTGTCTAGGCTCCGGTGCTGATGTGACGTGTCAATCATTCCCTTCTCTGGCCCATTAAAGCGCATGCGAAGCAAGAGACCGTGAGATGAAGGCTCCTCATGGTGAGCCAGAGATGCTTTGTCAGGTGTCTAAATCTACAGAGGAAAAACTCTACCTCAATCCTCTGCTCTTATGCAGATCAGTCAGGGAGGGAAATAATTAAATAACCCGATAAATACTATCAGACAGTTTGCCTGAAGGGATAAACATCCATTACCAGATTCAAAGCAGTCGCTAATCACAAACTACTGAGATTAAAAGGTGAAAGTTAAAGGATGGCGAGCGGAAAGAAAAAAAGTTTTCTCGGCTGAGTAAAGCTCCATTTGCGGAGTTTAGCGAGGAAAAAAGAAGATGCCGTTTGGTGTTGAACGATTTACATATTCCTCTGTTGCGGCCCAAATGAAGAAACTGACACTTCAGAGGAAGACGCGATCAGGGAGAGCGTGATTGATTGTGTGATTTGATGGAGAGATGAGAGGAGGAATCAAAAGGTGCGAGATCTGAGAACGGACACCTCAGCGGTGAGGCTCTTAAGTGGCATTAGTACTGAGATCACATGTAACTGGCAGCCGGTGAGGGGCCCGCTGGCGATGAAAGCTTTTCTCACCAGCAGTCTTGCTTTCACTGAGACCCGGCTCAGCAGTCCTCAAGGGAGGCGGAGAAACACACGTCTAATTATTTATCATAGAGGGTTGAGAGTAAATAAAGAATAGAATAATGGCAAATTATGTGGGCATCACACTCGTAGAAATATGAGCAGTTCAAAACGAGGAGGTCGCGTGGAAGGTCAGGATGAAAATATGTTGATTGTTAAACAGATTGCTTCACTTTCTTTCATGTTTTAGACAGGATGGAAAAAAAACTCCTTAGTCTTTTGGTTTGTTAGTTAGTTAATTACAAAAGAAATATAATTAAAATTAAAAAAGCGAGGCCTTACCCGCTGAACACAGTCAGGTTTTGATAGACGTTGTTGAATCAGTTGGATCCAGAGGTCTTTGGGGACATTCTATTAGAAAACAAGAAATTATGAAAAGTAAATGTTTTAATTAAAGTCAATCACTAAAACTTTTTTAAATAATACACAACAAAATTGATAATTTATTTTTTAAAAATTAAATCCTGCTTAACTTATAATGTAGCAAAATATTCATTTTCTTTTCGGCTTAGTCCCTTTATTAATCTGGGATCGCCACAGTGGAATGAACCGCCAACTTATCTAGCATATGTTTTTATGCAGCGGATGCCCTTCCAGCTGCAACCCATCTCTGGGAAACATCCATACACACTCATTCACACTCATACACTACGGACAATTTAGCCTACCCAATTTACCTGTACCACATGTCTTTGGACTGTGAGGGAAACCGGAGCACCCGGAGAAACCCACGCGAATGCAGCGAGAACATGCAAACTCCACACAGAATTGCCAACTGACCCAGCCAAGGCTCAAACCAGCGACCTTCTTGCTGTGAGGCGACAGGTCTACCTACTGCGCCACTGTGTCGCCGCAAAACAAATATGCTCTGAAACTGAACAGTATTTTTTCAGTAGGAAATAAGTTAGTTGATCCAATGTTTTATAGATGGAGAGTGAGATGATTTCAGTTAATTAAAATTCCTTTTTTTCCCCATTCGTTCTAGCCAGAAATGTAAAGTATTTTTATGATGAGATGTATCTAATAGTTTGGTGTCCCTTAAAATCCAGATTCTAGAATCCTCCTAATATCCAGATTCTAGGATCATAACTGAGTTGCATATCTGTAACTTTTGATGATATGTTAATCATATATCATAAATCAGATCATAAATCCAACAACAATTTTTTTTGGACACAAAAAAACTGCATTATTTAAATATATGGCAATATTACTGCAACACAAGTGAAGTACTACAATACAACCAACTGCAGTACATCTACTGCAATACAACTGATGTACTCCAACAGTACAACTGCAGTACAACTACTGCAATAGTACTGAAGTACTACAACTACTATAATGCAGTTTACAACTGAAGTACTTCTACAATATAACTGCAATTACTACTTTTCCTGGTCGATGGACAATGGTTTCTTATCTAGGTTTCAGTACTTAAGTTGTATTGCTGAATTACTACCACGATATATTGTATTGCACTTTTCAGAAGTATAACTAACTATAAAATACATCTACAATCATCTGCTTTACAGCAATAAATAATAAAACTAAAGTGCACTTTTAATACTTATGTACCTAAGTGCAATAAACTATATAACATATCACTATATTGCCCCTCTGAGATTTTTTAATGTAACTTCAGTTGTACTGCAGATTTTACTGCTGTTGAACTTTATAGCATTGTAGTTGAACTGTGTTTATATCTGAGTATACTGCAATTTTGCAGTTGCATTAAATTTTGCCACAGTTCTCCTTGTATATAGGCTACTGCTGTTGTACTGTTTTGTTCACTGCAGTTATTTTTATTATTATTATTCATTTTTGCAAATGAACTCTTAAAATTCTAATTAAAAAATGTATAAAAAAATCCTGAAACTCTAAAAAAAAGTACACAATATCCTTGGAAGATGTTGAAGAATAAACCCTGCGGTTTTACTTCAGTTTACTGCAGTTATTTTTTGTAAGGGATGTCGGATGCAATATATTATAACGTAAACTTTTTAAATCACTAGCCGAAGATTTACCAACATTAACAACAGGCCTAAATCACAGAAAGTGTTTTAGTCTAAATTACTCATCAGTAATGCAATTTGCAATCAACCTAACTAAATAAAACTTTATAAACTAATAAAAGATAGTCTAAAGACTATTTGTGTCGCTAACATTAACATCAGCTAAGGTGTATGTTCTCCAGCAAACTAAACTGTCCACTGGAAACAATCCAATTATCAATAAACAAATACATTCAAATACGGCGTTGAATCTCTAATTATTTATGACATCCTCTGCTGCTTTCATCTCCCTCTCCTTTGTGAATTTTGTGAAAAATGATAATAATTGGAATCTTTTGGATCGTTCTATTTTAAACTCAAGGCCATGGTGAGTTTAAGTGAGAGGATAATTAGAATAATTAAACCATTGGGAGACTCTTTTCCTAAGCACATCTCTCTCTTTTCTTCTAATTCAATTCAACTCTCCTGATTTATCGACTAACTAGCCCGCATTGCATTTGCATGATCAGACTTCAGACAAGATCAGTTCTATGTCTTTACAATACCACAGAGACTGCAATTACTGGCATCCAGAGAGTGGAGCAAATGCTGACAACATTACCTTTTCTACTTATACGTCTAAAATGAATACCATGATCAAGGCACTCCAGACTGCTTTCCTTGAAGATACTTTGCAATTCAATTGTAACATGTTGTACACAAAAATTTGCAATGCAGTCTACTTAAAAATCTATTGTGAATGTTATAGAAGTGTAAGTGTTTTAAGACAATGTAAGACCTCACCTGTTTTTTGTCATAACTCTGTGCAGCCCTTGTCAGGTCACTGTCATCTTTTAAAATATCGCTAAAAGTTATATGGATAGCCTGTGTGTGCTCGCATAACTTTTTAGCCTGCAGTAAGACAAAAGAAAACAATGAGAAACATAAAATGAGGTATAAAATGAAGTAAAATTACAGAAATTAAATAAAAATGAGGTAAAGTTGGTTTTATATTCGCACAATCATTCAGTGACAACTTGTGACACGCTCCTATATTGTTTACCGTGGTACTTTGAATATTCGGTCGGAAATAACATAAAAATATGACTTGAAAAAAACATTAGCACTGTGTATGTGACTGTGAACAATGTTGTACTTTGATAGTCATTGGCTGCTAATATGATTTCACTTTTTAGAATTTGCAAATAATTTTTTTCATTCATTTTCTTTTCAGCTTAGTCCCTTTATTAATCTGGGGTCGTCACTGTGGAATGAACTGCCAACTTATCCAGCATATGTTTTACGCAACGGATGCCCTTCCAGCTGCAACCTATCACTAAGAAACACTCTCATTCACGCACAAAAACTACGGACAATTTAGCTTACCAATTCACCTGTTGTAGTAGCATACTGCCTGTCTTTGGATTTGTGAGAGAAAACGGGGCACCTGGAGGAAACCCACGTGAACACGGGAAGAACATGCAAACTCCACACAGAATTGCCAACTGACCCAGCCAAGGCTCAAACCTGTGACCTTCTTGCTGTGAGGTAAACGTGCTTCCCACTGCGCCACCCACAAAGAGTTTAATTGTGAAATTATATTATTATGGATAGTGTGAATTTGTGAATAAAAAATTAACTTTACCTCAGTAGAAATGAAAACATTAATGGTTTACAGAATTGATGCTAAACAGTTAGCTGTATTGTAACGTGTAAGGTCTGATGTTGTAACTGTGATGATTATCTGATTAATATAAATCAATTTATCATTAAATTCCAAGACAGAACAATAAAATTACAGACTAAGAAACAAAAGAAATGCAGATTGTGTGTGTGTGTGTGCAACTACAATGCTAGATGTCACTTTAAAAGACAAACATTAATTATAAGCCTAGGAATTAACATTAGCTACTAAAAAAATGTAATTATGTTTTATTTAAAAATGATGCACTTACTACGGTTCTTTTCCCTGATGCTGGAGGACCCAGTAATATGATTCTAGGAACTGAAACAGATATACATATATTTTAATCAATGAACCATCTCCAATAAACTATAGATGTAAGATGAAGACTCGTAAAGTACTTCTAGTCGATAACAAAAAAGCTAGCAGTAAGTTATATAATCAATAGTGTCTTTTTACCCGGAATTTTTTTGCTCCTTCAACTTCATTTTGTAAACTCGTCTTATTTGATATCACGTGCAACTACGCCATCTTGTGGTTATGACAGTATTACTATAAGAATGTGTTAGTAACCCAAATATTATCATCCTCAAGCGAGGGACCTAAAACTAGTGAGGGAGCTATTTTACATTTTACATCCTAAATGTAAATACACAAAGCGTAAAAGAGTCTTAAACACTATTTGTAAAATAATTTGTTTCTATTACATTACATTATTGAATCTTTTAGTCATACTTTATTAATTAATATATTGGAATATTTAATAATTTTAATATTTAAAATCATTTTTAAATGTCCACTGGCAAAACATTTAGATTCATTACTGCATTTTTTATTATGGTGCTGTATTAGTTCATTCTCACACATATTTACTAATTTTATTCTTTTTTTTTATTTACTTTAATCACTGTATTACTTCAATAATCAGGTATTAATTGTCTTATGAGTATTATGATTTTCTACTAATTCAATAATTTTTTAATTATTCTTCTTTATTTGGACTTTTTATGCTTTTTAATGACCTCTAACATTTTCACTGACATCTCATGTGGCCCCCTGGTCGTTCCCAGATAACAGTTTGAATTCCTTTGTATTAAATAATAAACATTTCTAAGGATTCAGGCACAATTACACAAATCTTACCATCGACATTGTCCCTTTCCAGAAAGTTAATCAGGTATTGAATGGGATCATCTGGTTTGTCCACCATCAGATTTCTCACTAGTGTCTGCAAATTAATAATTCATTTAGACACTATTGTCTTGTAGATGATTAAATTAATAAACACTGTATAGACAAATGTCTTTACCTGGATCAGGTGAAATATGTCATGTTTCTCTGCATAAATGACCATTTCAGGGGGGATTCTGAGGGGCCTTTCAGCTGAATCCATCACTGCAATGCTCCACGAGACACCAAGAGGTCAGCAAAGGAAGGCTAAAAATGTGTCTTGGTTTACAAAGAAATTAGCATTTTATGAGTTTATATGTATAAAAAGTAGAAAACAGTAAGGTAATCAGTAAAATATTAACTACTAAAATATTTACTACTTTTTAAATTAATTTGTTGAAACTGGTTGCCTATGTTCTGAGTAAAACTTAAAAAAAAGATACTAGATGAACTCTGGTAACTTACCTAATGAAAAAGTGATGAGCACATTTTAAAAGAACTACTTATTCATTAGATATTAGTTATTATTTATTAGATACTATTACACTCAATCATTAGATATTACATATTATATATATATATATATATATATATATATATATATATATATATATATATATATATATATATATATATATATATATATATATATATACACACATACATAATGTATATCTAATACATAAATACTGGTATGTACCGAACATGTTCTAGTATAAAATATATAATGTTAGTTTCTTTTAAGATGTGCTCAGTAAGTAACGTATTTTTTCAGGTATTGTAACGTTACTAAAGTTTATTCTTTATGTAAGTTAGGCTAATAGTTTACTTAGCTTTGCTCCCTCACAAAAGGGGAATTTACGCAAACGATGCGTTTATTTGATTAAAAATAGCATAATGTGGTTATCTGTTCAAAGGAAAATGAAGAACAAAAATATATAAAGTTACCTTGAAATGTAGGCTAACGTTAGCTGTGGCTAGTTTGTTTTGCGTTCTCACTGCAGCTGTTGCTGTCGTTGCCCTTGGTAACATGTGTAGCTGATGAGCAGATCACATTCAGCACCAACAGAGGGAGTGCGAGCTTCAACTCTAGTTGCTACGCAACATATGCGAAACAGAAAAAGAAGACACCGATTGTACAGGTATTTGATATGCTTCAGTATTAATACAGGTAAGTTCAAATAATGTACATGTGAATATTTGACAAATTGAAGACACAATTGGGCTAAAGTTACATTCCGTGAAAAAGCCCGCTCTTTAGTTTTACAACAAAGTTTTTTTTTAAAGTTTTAGCCGTAGTAGAATATCCTTAAGGTAATTACATTAACGTTAACGTTACTCCTATTTATGAACAGTACTTCGTTTATTCTGTATTTTAATACTACTAACGTTATTCATCTTCAACAGGTTGAGCAATTTAACCGAGATGGCTGATGTCAGACAGCAGCTACTTTCCCTCGAGCAGAAATATAAACGTTTCAAACAACAACAGTTTATATTTATAAATGCTCTGGAGCGCTCAAGAGAACATGCAAGGGACAGAACAGAGCCTGTCTCCACCATAAAACAGGTCATTATGATTTATTAACAGTTTTATAAAGTCATACAGTTCCCAAGGCACCCAGTAAAGCTGTGATTATTGAAAAATGGGAGTAATCAAAGCGAACTGTTGTTAATTGTAAGAATGGCATGTTAATATTTTAAGCATAATTTATTATCATGTTAACCTGGTGGAAATTAAACTGCAAATATTTTCAAGTAACAACCCACTATTTTATTGTTGGTTGCAGTAACTATGCATACTTTTAAAGACACTGAAATTTTATTCATTAGTTCATTTTTGAATTTGTAAAGAATTAATTATTAAAATGTTTTTAATTTTTTTAAAACAAATCTTACAGCAAACTTGTGTAATTATAATCGGTAGTGTATATATTATTGGTTCAATACTGTTAAATAATATGTATTGCATGTATCAATAATGTAAAATTTAAACAAATAGAAAACATTGTTTTTCCGCAGGTCCAAAAGTACATGAATCACCATTGCAGCAATTCAACTGACAGGAGCATCTTTTTACTCTTTCTGGAAATTATTTCTGATCTTGAAGGTGTTTTAAAACAACTGGAGTCCTCAGTGTCCAGCAGAAACACTTCATGTGAGGGATTGGAGACCTGCAAAGAGCTCCTGAACCCCAGCAGCAACATCAGTCAGCAAAGGGCACAGTTAAGTAACAGTAAAATTACACTACTTCTTACATAAATATAAACAATTGCTGTCTGAATGATTAACCTTCGGAATATAACCCACTTTAAGGATGCGGGAGTCTCATTAAATAAAATCAGATGGTAACATAATGCTCAAGGCTCCCAAGAAACATTGCTTATTATTTGACTTAATCCCCTTTCTTTACAGCTATCCACACAATGTGATCAACCGGCTGAGCTGTGATGAAGCAAGAAATTTCTATGGTGGGATTGTGAGCATTATTCCACTGACTTTGGACCTTCTCGCTGCCTACATCAGAGGAAGTGCAAAACGTCTAAGTTCAGCATCTACAGTAACACCTAATCAAACGTTGACAAAGAATGTTGGAACCGGGATCGATGCTAGCCTTGAAAAAGACACCAGTAAGCACCAGAGAAGTAAGTCCTCAGAGAAGAAAAAAGGATCTGGTGGTTGGCATGCAGGAAAACCAGCCTGGAAGCCACCCGGAAACACAAGGAGATAAAAAAAAACTGATATTTACAGATGTTTTGTTCTTAGTTCTCACACCAAGTATTATAAAATTCACAATAGGCTATATGCACAGCTAGTGTTGTAGGCATAGGCCGGTATAAGATTCTGACGGTATTATAACCTTGGGTATAAATATCACAGTTTCACGGTATTAAGATTACTGCTCTTAAATCTATTTTTTTTTACATGTCTGGGTAAAAAAAACATAACCTTTTTAACTTTTGTACACAATATATTTTAACTTAAGAAACATTTTTAAATATTTTGGAACAGTAAACATGTTAGGCTAATTCAAATGATTTATTGACTTCTGCTGTTTTCATTAGTTTCAAAAACAGATTTTGTTTTCTTTTCTGCATGAGATTCTGCGGTTCTTAAAAAAAAAAAAAAAAAAAAAAAAAAGTAAAATTAAATCTTACTCATACCTTAGGAAAAGTATATCAGAATTTTGTCGGTTTTAAAACCTAGACTTTTCCAAACCACGTTATACCTTGAACACGGTTAATGTCCAATGCCTATAGTGTTGCCAATGATGAACTTTCGTTGAGGGCTTTAAGTGACTATTTCCAATTTCCTAATGTTCCTAATGTTGCATTGGTGTTGTAACTTAATTTAAATATAATCAGTTAAATAGATTTATGCATCCATTTGTTTGTTAAAGCATAAAAAGAGATAAAAAGACTATTTAAACGCTGGTGCCATCAAAAGCCGCTGACTAGCGCAGAAATTCCAATAAAAATACTGGGGTAAAACTAATTTCCATATTTTAAAAAGACATGGCGCGGAAAGATGTACACTTAATGCAGTGCATCTTGTTTGGTCCGATATCCACTTTTCAATCATATCTTCAGCCAGGCAAGTGAAGATTGCTGTTTTTTTTTTTTTTTTTTAAGAAATCAGATCTTAAAAGTGGCGATTTTGTATGGGGTGACAATTAACCGAAAGCCCTGGGCCTGGCTGACTGAAATTAAAAGCCCATGTGCATATACCTCATTGCCATTATAAAATTGATGACAGCAACAAAATTATGCAAAACATATATTTTTTTTATTTTTTTTTTTGTTGTTGATCATAGCAAGTAGGAGAACACAAATCTGTTTTCTCAACTTCAAAATAGAGTCCCTGGTTACCCGTTACACCCGTCACCGCCTGATTGTACCATAGTTAAGATAACTTTCCAAAACGACTTCAGGTGACAGACAGGTTTCCTACTTTTTTTTGTAAGGCATTACGTGAAACAACAAAATGTTTGAGAGGGGTATTTGTATAAAAACAAAGTCTGAGTGAAAGGGAAACAAAGCACAAGCTGTACGATCACACTCATGGTAACCTGTGAGAAGAACAGTCTAGAAAGAAAAAAAAACTGAAAGGATTTCCATAGATTTCAATTCTCAAAGCCATTTCCCCAGCTGGCAGTTCGAAGCCAAGATTTTATTTTCTTCGCAACAGCACTTCACATGTTCATCTACAGTCTACTCTGAACTGAAAACAAACCCCTAGAGCAATGTTTTAGAAAGAGATGAGTATATTGCTCTGCTAGAGTTCAGCAATCTTAAGAAGGGCTGAATTAAAAAAGAAGTGCTTTCAGTTCAGCCAGCTGCAGCCCATTATCTGAAGCTTTTTCTTGCAGATGGGGTCTGACCTGCGTAAGACAGAAATGAAAGAACATAATAGAGAGAAAATAAGCCTTCTGGCTTACAGCGAGCAGCTTCCTTTCAGAGTTTAGTGTGTTGAAGTATTGCAGTGGCCGTGTTTGTATACCATTAACACAAGAACATTCACCCGTCAGACACACCTTAGACCACAAAGTCATTCCGATTTCTCATTAGGTCTCAACTGGACAAATGCTTCAGCAGCAGCCTGACCCCGTGTTCTTCAAGGCTCTGACGGTCCTGCAAAGCAGCAATCTAAATCAGTTTATTATATATTCCCCATCATCATACCTTCGAGCTGGCATGAAGTGTTAGCGAAGTATTGCACTGGTGACTGGGCGCTACAATCCCAGCAAAGAACGTTAAATGCATAAAAATAAAATCTATTACTAGAAGTACAACACAAGACATGATCATTCTCTATAGGCCAAGCGCACAAAGCACTGCTATGGCATATGCCTCAATTATGAAATGTCTTTTGCGATTCTACTTCACCTATTCCACATAGCTTCTTTTTTGTTTTTCACATTTTTATCGGACTGACTGGTTGGTTTTTCAGAGGCATAATCTATTTACAGTGCTCCGCTTGCAATGATCATACTCAGTATTGTGCAAGTCACATTAGCTTAAATGAAGAAGTGACTTAAGCATTTTGCTTGGACAAATTTAGGAGGACTGGAAACTGAACGATACCATTACAGGAGCAAATACAGTGATTAAATCAATACATTTGCTGCAAAGTACAGTAAGGCCCAAATAACATCCAACCACCACGCAGTTAAATCACCACAACTGCTCTCTGAATACCCATTATAAAAAAAAAATACTGAATTTCAATGAATTCATATTAGACAGGAGAAAAGTAAGCCATTTTTTCTTATGAAGACAAGATGATCTCTTGCCACTGTGGTGACTAAATGGCAACTGCCAAGCGAAAATGTTTGTTTTTTTTTTTGGCCGTTTTGTAGTACAAGAGCTTTTAAAATGAACTAAAATGTTGCAAACCACTCTAACAAAAAGAGTAGTGCATACTAATACTGGGTCCAAAATGATCCTCTTTTATCTGCAGACGATGATGTCAGCAGTGTACAATCAATGCACATGGTGGGTCTCATTATAGTCCATGATCCGCAGATCCTGATGCCTCCTACTCTGAACATTATATGCCCGGGGTCTATCCATTGGCTGCAGGTCAAACTGGTCAGCAGCTTCCTCGGACTCCAAACTCTCTGTGGGGTCTGTGATTGGCTCAACTTTAAGATCCTTTGAGAGGCAGGTGAGGGTGGGCGAGTCGCCATCATAGTGGCTCTCACTCTTATTGCGGAACATTTCTCTGGCTTTCTTACCCAAAAAGCTTCTGGTGCTGGGGTAAGAGCCAACTGCAAAGGGTTGGCAGGGGAGGGAGGGAAATGAATGAGTAAGGGCGGAAAGATCTTCTTCCTGACTGCCATTAATGAGTGCTGTGGGTGTTTGAGGAGACGCTGCAGATATTTCACCATTGACACACACATGCGCCCCTTCCTCTCTTTTCATCAGGTCAGCCGGTAGAGATGGAGCAGATGGGCCTGCACTGTTGCCATTTGGCCTGAAATGGAAAAGAGAAATAGAATCATTCCACGATTCAGAAATCAATCATATTTATTTCTTATATTTTGCTCTGCGAAGTCTAAAATGCATTAAATGATCAGCCTTTGGAGGAGAAACAGCTGTGCGTGATTCAATGAAACGCACCTCTGGTTGGTGGGACTGCTGGGATCAGAAATGGGCTCTGCTGGTGCATTAGTTTTCAGGTTTTTGAGCTCTATCTTGCTATAGAGCTCAAGCAGCTCAGTTTGTAATGCCTGAGTGATGTTCTTCTGAGCCAAATACCTGTTTTCTGAAGCCTGCAGCTGCTCCCTGTAGAAAAAAAAAACAGTCAAGAAATAAATTATTAAGTCGAAAAGCAAGATACTCTTGAAAAGATGAAATAGAACCTGATCTTTGGTATTCTGGAGATAAATACAGCACCACTTTACAATACCCATCATCATTTCATTACATCCAAACAAATAAATGAAACTAGATTTAGGAAACCGAACTGCAACTGAGGGTGCTTTCACACCTGCCTTATTTAGTTCGATTGAATCGCACTAGAGTTCGTTTTGGTACGGTTCGTTTGGGCAGGTGAGAATGCAGCAATCGTACTCGAGTGCGCACCAAAAGCGGACCAAATAAGCGTACCGAGACCTGCTTGAAGAGGTGGTCTCGGTGCGCATTCAAACGAACCCTGGAGCGGTTGACAGCGCTTTACCAACAGAGAGAGAGAGGGGGGGTGGGAACATTACCTGATTGATCGCTGGTAATATTTACGCAAAATGACCATGTCGCAGTTTAGCTAAATTAATTCACGTCTCCTCCTGAAGTGACAAGCGATGCATTAAACACTGTTTTCCAGCCGCGGTCGCGCTTCATTTTCGTAATGTATAGTTTGTCTAAAGCAGGCATACAATCAGCCATCCCTCCAGAGTAAAAGGTTTTGTTTACCTGCGGGAGTTCACTGGCATTTTGAATTCTGACCAATCAATAAGCAGTTTAGGAACTATGTTTAACAACATCTGGCCAATGAGAGATGTGGATTTTGTCAGATGACTGCATTTTAGTTCGTTTCAACTGGTTCGGACCAAAGCCAGCAGTGTGGTGTGAAAACGACCCAAAGACGGCAGAAGGTGCAACAATGTATCATTTATTACCCTTGGTCCGAACCAAAAGAAGCGAACTACAGATGTGAAAGCACCCTGAAACTGAATTGCAAATGATATCAAACCAAAATAAAAAATAAATAAATAAAAACAATTAAATTTTATATATCATTAAATAAATTTAGAAAAACGTAAATGTGTAGAATAACTTTTACATTAACTTACATTTTCATGGAGTCTGTAAAAATATATAAATATATCAATTGTACCATGAGGTTTGGTCTAAAAGATGTAGATTCAAACCGCAATTAGAAAATGTATTTCAATTTCAAAAGGACGATTAAGGCCATAACAAGCACATACGTGGCCTGTCGTTTGACATTGTCCAGCAGTTTCTTTTGCTCCCGGATGACTTGCTCTTTCTTGGTGAGTTGGTTCTCCAGGTCTGTGATACGCTGCTGTGCAGCCTCAAGTCTCTGACTCTGCTGAAGAGAGCTCTGCCTCAAACGCTCACCCTCCCGCACTGAAGATGCTTGCAGCATATTCAGCTCCTAACATTCACAAGAGATCAAATCTGAGTTGACTGGAGCAGATCAAACAAATTTTTGAGTCCAAAAGTTTAAAGTTTTTACCAATGAGTGTTAATGCCTTGAATTGAATTAAATGGACCACATTATATAAATTGCCATTTAACAATGTGGATAAAAATGGTCACATCTGGTAAACGCCTCAGTATCACGCTTACCTTGTGCGCCTCAGGGCCCAAGCGGTCAATTTCTTCCATGTATAACTTGTTGGCTTCACCCAAAAGCAGCAGCTGCTTATTCAGGAAAGCCATCTGCTGCTCCATGTTTTCACTATTGTTCAGCTGAGGTTAAATAAAATGACAAATTATCAACAAACAAGATATATATAAATAAATGACTAATTAGGCCTGCACAATATATAGTTTCAGCATCGTTATCGCAATGTACACATCCGCAATAGTCACATAATAGCATGTGCAATGTCCAGTCTTCATTATAGTTGAGCAGGTACAATAGTTTGTCTTTACTAAGTTTATCCATAACG